CTATCTCTAAAATATATTAGAGTTACTTCGTTAAAAAAAATATATAGTTTTTTCCGTATCAATGTCACATTATCATGTAATAACGTGGACGATTTGGAAAAAAATTTTGGCCCATGGATGCGCTTTGTTTACGAAAGATTAGATGTTTTATTACGTATAGGGGTTATATTTTTTTTGGTCGTCAAAAATGGTATAGTTGAAAAAAGCAATAAATCTAATAATTTTTTTCTTCTTAAATAGTCAATAGTCATCGAATCTTTCGAAGATTCCGATAATATATAAATACATTAATGATATTGTTATTATGTCTGTGAGATTTAGCGTCTTGTCGGTAAATCTTGCGATGATCATTGTTTGGTAGAGTAGGGAGTGGGAGGTTATTATTATATTGACAACATTAAGACATTTTCCACTATTTTCGTCACATTATTCAAAAGGACGATATTAGACTGCAGCCAAGAGTTGATCGTGTTCTCTTTACACAGCTATAAATTATAATGTGATAACAATTTTTTAAATATGAATAGGATTTCTGGCCACCGGCGGTCGGAAAGAAATTGAACGGTGGGAATAAATTCAAACCACCTAGACCGCGACTGAATAATATTAAGGTACTCGAGAAATCTGGTCATCGCCCACATTCCTACAGATGTAATATGCAAATGAATAGGAAATGGTTAAATTTTACAGTTACACTATATGTATATAAAAGCCATCCTAGGATAATGGAGACGGGTATAGACACTGTTGTAAGTAATTTAATGTGTATCTGTAAGCAACGATTAATCGTTGCTAACGAAAAAAAATGATTCTAAGAGGAGTTCAGTTGATAGTGTAGTAGCTTTGTTAATAATATATATATATATCATATCATGGTAAATTAATAACATAGGTAATATATATTTTTTTTTTTTAAAATTTGTTCAATATTTTACCCATTTTTCAGTTTTTCTCTACGGTTTTCCCATGATTTTTCCGGATTTTCAATTAATCGGAAAAATTATTGAGAAAATCAAAAAATAATCTTTTTTAAATATCTCCCAGTCAGATTTCTTTTTAGAAAAAGTGCTATTATTGTAAATCGGAGCAAAATTGGTGGTAGAAAAGTTGTTCACAGGAAAACAAGGCCGTAAAATTTAATTTTATTGAATATCATTATTTTATTATACTTACATTTTACTATTTCAGTTTACTTTTTCATAATATTTTACTATACATTCGTACATTTTCCCGTTTTTTCTCAGTTTTTTTTCTTGTTTTTCCAATATATTGAGAAATCTGAGAAAATTTAAAAATGACTTCCTTATAGTACCACCCCAGCCACATTCATGTAATAATATATATGATAATCATCATTGTTAAACCATAAGCTTCTTCGCTCCTCTCAGAATCTGAAAACTATAAACTGCTAACAACTATACCAAATTTGTGATTTCGATGGTTGAAATGGACGGCATTTATTTGACTGCAAGGCCCGTATATCCTATCATTATATATACTTTTACGTTGTGATAAATGTTATTATTTGTAATTGTTCCCATAGAGTATACGTATACACTCTATAATAGTGTCCCATAAAATATAGCAATGCTATTGTTGCTCATATTATACCGATAAAACTGCAGTTATCTGATTCATCGGAACATAAAAATGTTAAAAACGGCAGATAGTAACTTCGCCAGTTAACAATCCAGTTTATTACATACGTCTGGGCCATTATCCGAAAAAAAAAGATACCTACGTGAGCATTTTCCGATAAAGTGTACTTATTGAAAAACGAGGTTTGTGTTGAGGGTTTTCTTGTAATTCGTTGTCTGTATTTTTATCTGACCGGGCCAATACTGAATACACTGCAAAAGACGCTTATTATTATTATTATTATTGCACTTTACGTGGGCCTTTAATATAAACGACCGCGACTCGGTCTTTTCTATTTTAAGCCGTCGACGAGTCGTATACGCACGTCATTACCATTAGGAAGTCGTTTCGCGCACTCGAGTTGCTTACACTCGACCGTCTGATGTTTCGCTGGACATCATCGGCTATCCGGAACGTATAAATAAGTGGGGGTTTTTTTTTTCACTGCTCTCGGAAAATTCCGCACTGACTAAAATTCTTCGGTTAATTTATGAGATACTCCGTGGAGGAAAAGTGCAGAGAACAAATAATTCGCATTAGAGTTGTGTAAAATATATGTGTATAGGTACGGAAATGTGCAAAAGTTTTTGATAATAAATCGAGGGAAAAAAAACAATAGCAATGTTTGATTTTATTACAGATTTTTACGATAACTGTGTACATTATACCGTATATATTCGTGAATCGTATAGAAAGTTATTGGAGTTACAAATGACTTAATATGAATAAAAAAAAAAAAACAAACTATAATTTATTATTATAGTTACATAAATACCGATAAAAAAATATTACCTATCTAAATAGTAAAACGCATTATATTAATTATATGTTATGATTTGACGGAAAATAACGTTACGCGCCGGTACCTAATTATTCACGTTTGGACTAAAATACATATAAGTCAATAATCGTAAACCAGATATTCACATTATTGACCGAATACATAAGTAATGGTATTGTTATTAAATCAGATATTTCCTAATAATAATAATAAATTGAAACGAGGTGTGGGCCGTGTTAATTGATATTACGATTTTTTTTTTCAACTGGTTTAAATAAGACGTTAATTTCCTATTATACGACAGTCACTCGTTGTTTTCTATTCATCGACGTTTTTAAACACATTTTTGAATTTAAGGCCTGTTATTTCAAATCACTATAATTCTTCGTCGAAAAAGAGCGTCATTGCTATCACGCATGTACCTTATCTTTGCCCGATAAACATTTTTCAGATTTATTCATGAATTACACTATATACTTTTTCGAAACTCAGTTTGGCTATTACCTTATCGTTGCTTGTTGGACGCCCATCTTATTTAGTGGGTTTACTTGATTTTCAATCGTAAAGACATTATTTGTCATATAAGTCACAGCCAAACAATATAATCATAATTCGTAAATTGTTCGTATATTAATATTTCCCATATTGAATGTGTTATAACTAGGGTGCGGAACTATAATGGAAATTGCATATTTTTCTAAATGTCCTAAAGCAATAATTCCAAGCACAAAATTTGTTTCATATATAAAAGAATTAAAATATGAAACGTTTATTTTGCATTTTTTTGCATTTCAGAACTTTTTTTTATTTATAGAGTATTATTTGACATTTTAAGTGCATTATTAGGTTTTTAAGTTATTTTTAGGTGCCAAGCGTTAATTTCTTTTTTTTTTTTTCATTCTTTCTTCTAGTCTGTAGACAAGTTTTTTTCTTGTAAACTTGCTCCAATTTTTATGTTTAGCAACTTTTCTGAAACCTCAAGTTGTCTAGATGATACTTAAAAGCATTTTTTAATTTTCGACCACCATTTTTAAATAAAAGTACTTAGGTGGGAAAAAACTTAAGAAAACATAAAATTTCACGATTTCGTTATTTTAAATAATTACCTACCACGTTTTTAATGAAATCCCGTATTTTATACTTATTTATAGAGAATAATAGGAGCGCAACATTTTCCAGTTTAAAATGGTCGCAGTGGAACGTAATATAATGCTATTATAATAATTATTCGTAAAACTACATAACGTAACATTCTGAAAATTCAGTTTCTGATACTTATTTACGATAAATTACCAATAATTTAGAATCTTTTTTAACCATTTTTTGAAAATACATGCAAATCGATATGTAGCTCAAAAGAAACGCGATTTATAAAAATAAATCATTCCGCACAGCGTTTAAACGTACACGCCTCGAATAAAGATAAAAAATATAAAATATACGACTGATGTGAATGTTCAAAAATGGTATTTAGTTCGCCTGTAATAAAGTACAGTATTTAAAATTTATGTACGATAAACATATAGGATAGTATTGAGAAATGAATCGTATAATCGAAAATCACAGTGCAATAATCAGATATCTCTACTTTTTTCTAAAATTCATTTTTTTTTGGGTTTTAAGAAAAAAAATCCTCTATATTTTAGTGAAAAAAATCTCACGCATTTGATAAATATAAATATAGTTTTCAACAGAAATTAGAGTTATATTGTTTTAGAATTTCGAATACAATAATAAAAAAAATCCAAAAAATAAACACGTTTTTTTATTGCTCCAAATAATTTAAAAAAAATGGAGTCATCTGGTTTTTGTGATTTGATGACAACAACTACTGTTGTCATGGTAGCTATAGTAATTTTAATAAAAAAAACATTTATATATTAATTGAATGTATTTATTCACTTCGAAAATAATTATCGGAGGTATTATTACGATTTACGTACAATTTCGAGCTATTTAATTTGATAGTTTCGAGTTTTTTTAGTTTTATAATGGTTGTAATAGATACAATTGTCATTTCCAGGTAGAAACTATTAAATTGAATACAACTTTCATTATAAGTACTATTGGTGAAAATAAAGTCAAGCGTAAAGTTGTTATGATTTTTTTTACAAGTGTTTTAAGAACAATTTTTACCAAAATCGTTTTTCGTTAACAATAGCTTACAGATATAAATTATAAAAATTAAATAACTTTATGTATCCCACCTTTTCAATTTCCTCCTTACAATAGTGGCGAACCCGTTCTCAGTTTCAACCCCCTTTTTTTTTATTTGTGGCATTGAATTAGACATTTTGAAAAATGACCTCTATTTATAGTATATATAATAAAGCGTACCATAATTTGTGTTAAATTGCCCATCTATAATAAAGCAAACTTTTCGAGTAAGTTCATTGCTACCCAAACGGTGTTTCGCGAGAAAAAAAATACATCATACATTGTTGTAAAAATTTAATGAATTGTGGTTGTTTCCTAGGCTCAGTTCAAAAAGTATTCTCGTAGTTGTACTTAGTAATTCAGATTTCTTGAAAACGAGTTTTGAACAGATCACTTGCTGAAATTATTATTATAGGTAATAATAAGATACTTAACTTAAAAAGACTGATACTGCTGTTGGGTGTGCTACTGTTTCAGAAAGGAAGTTGAAAGAAGGTATGATATGTATAATATCATGTTCAGTAATTTAATTTCTCTATGTAATTATAAACCGTTGTTAACGAAAAACTATTATGAGCAGATTATTATTAGTTAGATACCAACAAAACTTTTATAAACAGTTTCCAATGTTACCTATTTATTTGGAAAATTACATGTAAAATAAAAAAGATAATAATGCTCCAAATGCTCCAATTAAATAAAAAACGCTATAAGAAAGTTCCCATAAAGTTTTTGACTGTGACACGATTTGTGGAAGAAAAATTGTCTACAATAGGTACAACAATTTTTAATCACTCATTTTTCACTGATCCGATTACAAGAATTTTTTAAGTTCGATTATACCTATAAACATAGCTAAATATAGCGTACTGTTTCGATGATGTTTGGTTTATGTGTTTCGCTAAAAGGTAGAAGAATTTTAATTTCCGTCTGACGAGTTGAAATTATTTTCATCGACACTATTGGAAAATTCTTTAACGATTTTTATATCGAGACATGGAAGAAATGGTTTTCGTTGGATTCCGGAAGTATATAGAGTGGTTTTTTTCAACGGACAGCGTTTTTGTTTTACACAATTAAGTTAACAAATTAATTTACACATAAGTGGGCGTGTTACGGTTAAATAATTTACAGAAGTCAGATACAGTCGATATATTATATTTAACGACAAATATATGAAAATATCACTCATGAAACGAATGACGTGGAGTTGTCAAACACAATAAAGGAAAATTTGAGAAAAATGCTCGTGTTTATGATGACGCAGTAAAACAATAACAAACAAAACATATACAGTTTTTAAAAAGAACATTATAAAAAAATAACATAATAAAGAGTATATAAAGATCGTATGGATGGACATATTAAAAATCACAACAAAAGTCAAGTATAATAGGACTCGGAAGTCTTGTTTAATATGTTTTTTAGCAATAGACATCATTGAATGATTCTATTGGATATTTTTTACTAATTAATTATTATGTATACTATTGAATATGAATAGCGTTGTATTTAATTTATACTCCGTAATTATTTAAAATGCGTCTCAAAAATTGTTTATATTAGGTTAAAGTTTTGTAAATTACCTAAGAACACGACTTTTATTACAACAATCGATAAGGATAGTATTTAGATTTGGTCACACTGAACGCAATAAAATTAGATTTGAATTTTAAACGGATTCAACGAAGAGAGATTATTTATTTGTTTTCAAAAAACCGTAGTAGATTCGATTATATAAACAAGTTGTTTTTTATAAAAGCGGAAACAATAATAATTGAGAATATCGAAAAATGATTTTTTTTACTTATCTATACCGGATTTAATACCAGAAAATTGGGAAGCTTAAAAGATTAGAGCTTATACTTTTATTCCGCCCGAAAAAATTTAGTAGTTTATTCCGACCCACAAAATAGAACGATAGGAAAATAAAAACGAAAGTTTTTGAAGATCTCAATAATAATCTTTGACCGGAATCCAAAATAAAAAATTCGAAATTCAAATTGCTATTTTCGACATATTTCCAGAATACGCGTTGGCTATGAATATTTATTAAATTTTATAATTTTGTAATAAAAATCGAACTAGTTACATGGGTAGAATATACAGGGTAATTTAGTTTATATACTGTATGCAACGATAAATCAATGCAAATGGAAAAAAAAAAATGATTCTGAGTAGAATAGAGTATTTTTAGTTTTTTTTCACTTGTTTGTTGCTAATAGGTTTCCCTGAAACAAACAAAAATCAAACATTTAAAACAATGTAAAATGTACCTAATTGGAGCATTATTTATTTGACTTTAATAAAAATCAATTTTTCAGAAAAAGTTTTGAGCATTTCGAAAAATCGTTCGAATAAATTACCTTCAAGCGGAATATCCATATACTTTAAGGTATAAAATATTAACAAATCAAGTACGCTTTTACTACCTGGCCCTAAAAATAATTTCTGAAAGAAAAAAAATCGAATTTGATAAAATATAATAATAGCTTATTTGTTATACTCGGAATCTAAAATTCATTTATACATGCATATAGCGTTGATGTAAATTCATGTCACGTTTTCGAGGAGGTCAAAATGTCGCAATACTTAATGCACGAATTGTTTTAGTTATTTTATTGACCTATCAACCTACCAAACCCACGCAATTTCGTGTACAATTCGTTAAAAATCATAAAATTAATTAATATTAACATTATTAAAACCTCGGAACAGTAATAATTGCCATAAAATAAAGCATTTATTTTAAATTAAATCGCTATCGTGCAGTTGTCAGAATGACAGGGACGAACAGATATTGTGTATAAAAAAAATAAACTACAATGTAAAGTTGCTGAAAATATCGTAATACATTACTGTGTTGAGTGCATTACTTAATTTATAGTTTTTTTTCTTTTTGTATATTTTTGATACCTACTCATTTTATATTTGTATAATATTTTGATGGGCGGGTTAGCGTTGTATATCTATTTAATACAGACTCGACTTGCGGTGTAGAATAATTATTTTTATGCCACTCACCTGTATACTCGATACGCTTATAAACAACCGGTAACACCGTAGTTCAATCGATAATTAATTATTTATATTTTATATAAATACTTTTTCAAAAAAAAAAATAAAAATAATAACAATAAAAAATAAGGTAGTGATAGTAAATGTGTTACATTACGAAACTAAGAATATTATAAAACTTAAAAAAAAAAAACACCTGTAAGGCAAGTTATAGGTAAAAAAACGTTTCGCTATTTTGTCTCAAGAGTGTTCATATTAAATAATGGTATAATATCTCTGAAACAAAAAATGTATCGAAACCTATTTTGTGTGTGTGTGTGTTTGACGAGTGACCCGTATCCAGCGTAACTTTTTTTTTTTAAAAAGTGATTTTTAAACGCATAATATAATTGTGATTTTCAGATGTTGAGTGAATCGAACAAACGGTTAGAAAATGAATAGTAAAAGCTAACTACGGCAGGGTTTTTTCGCGTATAGTAAAAATACTTTAATGTTGTTTCCATCACGTCACAAGATATGAATTTTTTATTAAACGGGTACTTTATTTGAACAATTCGTGTAGATGCTCAACTATAGTTTTATTAAAAAGTAATATGAAAAAACTGTGACTACAAAATTATGCGGTACATTGGTTTTAGATTTGTTGATTACTCGAAAAAAAATAATCCTGCACTGTTAATCTTAGCAGTTAACGGAGAGCTTCATTCTGAATCTTTATTTTGATTACAATGGTTTATTCTTGGTACATAACATAACAAGCTTTTGGTCTATAAATTCGTGACTTTCCACCTATTTAAAAACGGTTTTCCGGTTCACGGCGGTGATGCAATGCTTTGTTTGGATTTCTAGAAAAATATCGCGTAAATAAGATATTTGCTATGAGGAAAAATGATAAAATGGAAATTGTTCCGTTCAAAAAATAAATGTCCCGTCCTTAATATAAATATAAATATAATAAAAATAATAAATAATATAAATTAAGAATGATGAAAATATGTTACGTAATAATACGTCAATGGTGGTGAAATATAAAAAAAGAAAACCATCGTAGTTGGTTTGTTATTTATGTAAAAATCATATTGAGCTCAATTGTCGATAATACGCGCGCAAGGAGACGAGAGGGAGAAAATAATATTTTTTAAATAAAAACAAAAAAAAAAAAAATGAATAAAAAATGATAGCATTATTCGGCGGTGGCGGCGGTGGTGGCGTTAGGTTACACAAATAAAAGGTTCGTTCATATTGAAATATTATTCAAATGATATATAAACACGATCGTGAGATCCATGCACTTATTGCTATTTGAAAAAGACGGTTTTTGTTATTTTGCAGAGCCGGCCTTTAAATTACATGCGTCGCGAAATGCGCAACTATAATGAACATTATTCGATAAATCGTAAAACCAGTTAAAAATTGTAAAATAAAAATGAAGGGTTCGTTCGTATTGGTTTCAAAAAGTATTCAAATAATACTCAGGATTTACATTTTTTTTTTCTCTGTGAAGCAAACTGATCGATATCATTTAATAATAACATAATTCAATATTGTATGAACTATATCCGTTCAATATATAAACAACAAAATGACCTCCCAGTGCACCAAGACAAAATGCGATTTCAGTAAAGCTGCTACACGTGAAAATCGGAGCAACATTTCTGATAAAATGGTTCATTAATTCACTTCACACAATTAATTAAAGCCAATAAATTCGTCGCTGCGCTTAGAATTTCAAAGAACAAATTTACTATCTATAATTTTCTAGTCGGAATCGTTTGCATTTATCTTAAACATCAAATTTATCAGTGAAAATCAAAAACTAAACCGAAATCCTTAACTGTTCAATAAGCCCGTTATAAATCGCTGTATGCATGTTCAAATTTGAAAAATATTTTTGGAGAAATACCAAAAACTCTATAAGCACCTGAAATGTTTTAATGTTTCGTGAGACGACAGTAAAAATGTATAGATGATAATATAAGTTATAAGTTATAACATAAGTTATTTACATAGAATTTGTTTTCAAAGATATACAATATTTTCGTTTTTCATGGGCATTTTAAAATCTCGAACAGGTGCTCTTTCTGCGTTTAGCCATTTTGTTCGAAACCGATTTACTTAAAAAAGATATTCGTGCTGCTAGAAACGCAACTGGAAGCAAAAACCAAACAATGATCGTATTGTTTTTTAAATTTTTTGTGCAAGCATACAAACATCGTCTAAAACTCAATGGTTTTGATTTTTTAAATTTTTCATCGTACAAGACAATGAAAAATCAATTTGGTATTTGAAGCGATATTTAAAAAAAAAAAATAAAAATAAAATATATACATATGAATTATTTCGCGCTCTTATGGGCATTTTCGGAACTTTCATGAACAATAGTTTTATGCTTTTGTTTTAAATATTTTTGTTCCACCCGACTTACAAGACACATTTTTTTTTTTTTTAAATAATTTTCGTATATATTATAGTTGAAGATCTCGAAGCAACACGGCAAACGGTACAATGACTCGAACAATTTGAATACTGTTCAGGAACATTAAAAACAATTTTATTCTTTCGGATTGTTCAACACAAAAATATTAAGCGTTTTTCTTCTTTTAACAATGCTG